CCCCGCCCCCTGCCGCCTCCATGAACGGCGGTGGAGGTGACTTGACGCCGCCGCCGGCTAACGGCGGCGAGTTCCTCCTCTCTCTAATCCAACGCCCCCACTCCAACCCCCACCCGCGGCCGCAGTCGCCGGCGATAGATCCGGCCGTCGCCCTCATCGGCCCCACGATCCCCGTCGGCGCTCGGCCGTGGCCAATCGCCGGCGCTGATCAGGCGCACCAGCACAACCACCCCCTCCACCATCTTCCTCCATGGTCCCACACTCTCTCTTCTCCGCTTTACCCTCCGAACTTCTTCGGGTTGCCCCATAACCCGTTTCCCCCTCCTCGGACCCACTTCCCTGCCGTCACTCCTAACGCCGTCACTAACGGCGCTAGCCTCACACACGATCTGCGGAAATTAGGGTTTCCGATTGAAGAAAACACCGCTCACGCCCACACCCAAACCCACACCAATAACAGTAACAAAGTCAATGCTTTCGTTCAGCAGCAGGAACTGAAGCTTCAGTTTGGGTCTTTGCCCACTGTTGCTTATTCCGCCGCCGAAGTTTCCTCCAATGGGGACTCGTTGCTCAATTTGAAGTTCAACAACAGAGGGTATGACGGCTACGATGGGAGCCTGCACGTGGACCACCCCAATTCGAATTCGAGTGGGAATGTGGTTGTTCAGGGTAATCATGATGTTGTGGAGAAGGAAAGAAGAGGGCTTGGGGGTTATAGGACTAGTGGGTCGTTTTCCTCTGAGAGGGTTCCACCGGGGTTTGCGAACAAGAATAGGGGGAAGGGTTTGGAGGGTAGTAGGAGGGATAGGGTCGGTGAAATGGGTGGTGGTAGGAATGAGAATTTGTATGGTAAGAGGGAAGGTGTGAGAATGGTGTCTGGCGAAAGGAGCAATGTTAAGGGCAATGTGGTGCGTGAAATGGGGTTTGTTGATCAGCTTGATCACGCCGGGATTAACCTCCATTCGGTGAATGAGACTGTGATTGGTGAAGTTGGTGTTAGGGATAGTAAGCATAAGGGAGGTGGGGGGTTAAGGGTGGAGGGTGTTCCTCAGTCTGGTGGAAGTGGTGCTGATGCTGATGTCCTTGGGGAGCAGTTAGCTGATTCCTTGGTTGTAGAGGATGAATCTGATGACAGGTCTAACTCGAAGCAACGCCGCGGACCTCGGGAGAAGGTCAATAGTTATATTTGTTGATATTGCTTGTAGGCTGTAGTTATTGATTGTTAATCATTCTTGAGAAAAAATTTTCAACTGAGTTTTATGGAGTACTTTGAGGACCATTATTTGTTGGTGTAGATAATGCAATGATGTTCTTTTTATAAATTTTTTGAACTTTGAAGGACTTTTTGTTCAAAAAGCCTTGATAGATGATTTAGTTTTAGGGTTTTGGCTTCTTGCTAACTAGTGTCTTAAGATTACTGGTTAAGGAATCGATATGTAGAAAGTTTTCATTGAAAACTACAATTTACACGCATATACACGTTTTAACAAAAAAAACTTTCTACTTTTGATTCTTTTAACCAGTGTCGTTTGGGCACTTGTTAGCATTTTCCTTAGTTTTATAGTTATCTACTAGTCATCAAATTATAGTTTTAAAAATAGAGGATTCTTGAGGTATGAGGATTACTTACAGCTTTTATTATCAGGATGCTAGATCATTGGACTCAAGAGGACAGCATCTCCTGAGTCAGCGGGCAAGGATGTACAAGAGGCAGATGATGTGTAGAAGGGACATAGATGTTCATAATGTTCCTTTCCTTGCAATATACGAGTCTCTAATACCTCCTGAAGAAGAAAAGCTGAAGCAAAAGCAGCTAGTGGCATTGTTGGAGAAATTAGTCAGCAAGGAATGGCCAACAGCTAAACTTTTTCTCTATGGATCATGTGCCAACTCGTTTGGGGTTTCTAAAAGTGACATTGATGTTTGCCTTGCTATTGAGGAAGCAGACATGGACAAATCTAAGATTATAATGAAATTGGCAGATATTTTGCAATCAGATAATCTGCAGAATGTGCAGGTGAGAAGATTGCTATACTTTCTTTATGTTGAAATGTTGTATATCTTGGTATTTGTATTCATTAACATATATTTGCATATATATAATGAAATGTTCAGTAACTGTTTCCCGGAACAGGAGCTACCTAAGTCTACTAAGAAATTTTCTTAAAGGAGATGTAATGACTTATCTTAAACGAGGAAATATTTTGAAAATTTTCTATTGGAAGATTGACATTGAATTTTGTCTTAGATGATGGAAAAATAGTCTTCTGTTTGGTAGACAATGCTAGGGTTTTTGTTAGTTATTATTTACCATTACTTCCTCACCTGCTATGAGAGAGCATATGCCACATAATATTTTTGCAGTAATAATGAGAGAATATACGTACGTAATTATACTGTTTGTAAATTTCTGTTAATATCTTCCTTCTTGTGGTATATAATTTTGCAACTCAACAATCTGCTTCATCGCTGTTCAAAGTAATGAAAACATGGATTGTTGGGGAAGGTTGATGCATGCAAGTGAGGTTTTTTTTGGTGGTGGGGGGTATCTTTTTCCTGGATAAAAGAATTTTTTTTAATAAAGTTTTGATGTAGAAAACTAAGATTTGGGATTGAGAAATATGAATAGAGAAAGAGGGACAATGTAGAAAAGTTGTAAGATGGAGGGCTGTGTGAATTGCCCCTGCCACCACCGTTCTCATTTTGTATACGTCTTGTAGGAGCATTACAACTTACAAGCATTTCTTGTCAAGATCCCATGAATAATATGGAATCAATATCCAATTAATCGTCTTCAACTCTAGGGTCACATATCCTTACTGAATTCACTGGACATTCTTTAATAGCTTTTTTATACTCTCAACATTATCAGAGAAGTGGTAACACAAAGGATAAGATATCCTACATTCCTATTAGAAGAAACTAAAGAAATAGACATGGGGACAAACAAGAAAGAAAGGTCCATCCAGTAAGGGAACTAGCTAGCCTTTTTGCATGTCCAATAAAGAAATCCCTCTATCTCGAATGTGTTCATAAGTCAAGCATTAAAACCTAAGAAGTTCACTTGATTATGTATTTTTCATTGAAAAGATGCAGCAAAAAGTATCCTACAAAATCTGCAGTTACTGTCTTCATAAAAAGAGGTGAATTGAAGGGAGTCTGACTATTATATTTGCCTCCTTTATTGGAGTCTCTTCGCTGGCTTTTCTTCTCTAGCATATTTATTCCTGTTTGTTTGATATTTGAAATGAAAATTTCTGAGGAGTCCTTAATTTGAGTTTTTGTTTATAGGCATTAACAAGAGCACGGGTTCCCATAGTAAAGCTCATGGATCCAGTGACAGGAATCTCTTGTGATATATGCATTAACAATCTCCTGGCTGTTGTGAATACTAAGCTTCTTCGGGATTATGCACGCATAGATGCAAGGCTAAGGCAGCTGGCTTTTATTATTAAACATTGGGCAAAGTCAAGAGGAGTCAATGAAACTTACCATGGGACATTATCTAGCTATGCGTAAGTTAACTTCTGATGCTAGTTAATTTTGCTTTGCCTTTATCTAATTTAGGAAGTTACTATAATAGTATTTATAAAAATCAAAATGAACATGATTAAACAGTTGAATTTCAGATAAACCGGATATTGTTCTCTAGAAAATAACGATTTAACAATTCTAACTTAATGCTATATTATTATTTATAAAAATCAAAATAGACATGATCAAGCAATTGAAGTGCAGATAAATTTGGCGACTGGATATTGTTCCCTAATAATGATAATTAAATTCTAATTTCAGGTATGTTTTGATGTGCATTCATTATTTACAAATGCGAAGACCTGCTATCCTTCCATGCTTACAGGTGTGTACTTAAGTTTTCAACTTCTCAATTTCTGTTCCTCCATGCGTGATATATCTGGATGTAGTCTCTTTAGGATGTCATTGTTTATGCCATTTATGTTTCAAATGTACCCTTCATTCTTATCTGGACATAATGATTAAATACTATTTTTGTATGCAGGAGATGGAGACAACCTATTCTGTAACTGTGGATGATATTAATTGTGCTTACTTTGATCAAGTTGAAAAACTTGGTGATTTCGGTCACCATAACAATGAGACAATTGCTCAACTTGTGTGGGGATTTTTCTATTATTGGGCATATTGTCATGATTATGCAAATGCCGTTATATCTGTACGCGCAGGAAGCATAATCAGGTTAGAGAACTTGGTATCTGTACATAGTTCCTTCTTTTATGCTCCACAATTTGATTGGTATTGTTTAATTTAATTGAATATATGATGGTTTTATTGGTGTAGCAAGCGAGAGAAGGACTGGACAAGAAGGATTGGTAATGATCGGCATTTGATATGTATAGAGGATCCTTTTGAAACATCTCATGATCTTGGACGAGTGGTAGATAAACATAGCATCAAAGTTCTGAGGGAAGAGTTTGAACGTGCTGCTGAAATCATGCAGTTTGATCCAAATCCATGTATTAAACTTTTTGAGCCTCATGTTCCTAGTTGATTTGAATATAGTAGGTAATGGACACTCAGCTTGTAAAGCTTCTCTTGCCGCATTTCGTATATTAACATGTTTATAAGTGTATTTATTACTTATTAGTTAGGGCTTTTAAATCAAAATGTCATCTCACTGTAAAAAACTTTTTTGGCCTCTTTCTTTTTATGCGAACGGCAAGAATTTACTGTTTGTTACGTTCAACTAACGAGCTTCCGAGGTTTTAATTGATTGTATACGTCACAATGAAATTATTCACGCTCTTCTGGTCCAGGGCATGCATTTTGTAATAGTTCGAGTGTAGGGTGTCTAGAACCAGTGGGTAACTATAAAAATTTCTTCCTCTTCTATTGAGGTGCAACTTGTAAGTAGTATTATGCCCTGCACCAAAAACAATTTGTCTTGCATTGATTGAATTCTCATAAGATGATGATATACACAAAAATGGGGAATGTTTTATTCGAAGTTTTTACCCCGAGCCAATTTGTCTGTGTTTTCATTGAGATGTGAGAGGTACTGGTACATACATACATGGGGCAAAACTTGACACCACTTCCTTCGCAAGTTGTCGCTCAACCTCACCACCAAAATGGATCTTGCAGATTTGATATACAAGTACTAATTAATTAATTAGAGACAGATAAAAATGTGGATATATTACAAGGATTAACATAAAATAACAAGGATAGAATTTTATAAAACTGTCTGAAAAAAATTACAAAGACAAGTGAAAAAAAAATATTACGGGACCAGAAATATAATTAAATTAATTATTTATGTACAAATTCTTAATCACACCCTTATTAATGGGATTGAAGAATTTGAAATAGACGTTTTCCAGTTGAGTGGCAGTCAACCTCAGTTGGGGGCCTTCAGTCCGCAATATTGTCTTATTATTTTCCCTTAAATCTATCGATTAGACTAGTCTTGCTTAATGGAGATCACTGTCACTGATACAAACCAGGTCATTAGAGTTGCCTATTTTCTGTCGATAATGTACATTAATTGAACCCAATACATTGTCAATTCTTTTGTTAGATTCATTAATTTAATTCATATATCTCATACTGCTTTTCCTTTTATTTGCATAAAAAAGTTTGTTCACAAATTAGTCTTTATCATTTATTAATTTTATAAGTGGTAGACTTCTTTTCATATCGGAATCAAAACAAAAAATGTGACAAGTGTAGTGATTAAAATGTAGAATATATACATAGAGAACCAAAATGAAATATCACTTTTTCACGTTGGGTTTAAACCAATAATAAAAGAACCAAATTTAATATTACTATCATTTTGATAAATGGTAAGTTTCACTTCATAAACGTTATTTTATATAGAAATTCAGATATTGAGTTTCCCCCATTTTTTCATATAAGGACAAACAAAATCTAGTGTCAAGTGTAGAATCCAATGTTTTTTTACAAGAATATTTAAGAAGGTATCGGACCTCTCCTTATTTTAAGACGAGCAAACTTAAATCTCATAAACGAATTACAAGGAATTATAAAACACTTGTATATCAATTAATATTTCCTAATTTAAACCTCAGTAACATTATAATCATAAACAAAAAATTAATCAAATAAATCAAGCGCACATTGGCATCAATCATTTACAACGTTGTTAATGGTTAAAAACAATTAAACTCAATTAAAAGTGTAGATTAATATGTCATCCTAACCTTCCTTTGATATTTGAGTAGACATACAGTTCCAATACATTTTCCAACAAAGAGTTTGTGTAGCTATCACATCTCCAAGCAAATAAATATTTACTCAGAGTTTAGGAAAACATAAACCGGCTAAATTACATTTTAACAATAATTCTCGCCAAAATGCTTTTCACACAGCAACATTGATTTTCACAATAAGAGCAAAATAACGAAAAATCACCAAACCTCTATGAATTACTAATTTGATAAAAGGGGGTGTGAAAAAATTACACACAGACACAGATGTATACAGATTTTTAGATCTGAATGTGCATTAATAATAATTAGCATGAACAGGGGATATATGGTTGAAATTCGAAAAGAAAATATGACAGCACGAAGCATCACAAATTTTACAATCGTATATACATTAACATAGTACATTCACGGAAAAGTCCAATATAATAACAGTTTAATAATAGAACAATAATAAGGAAACATCAAATTCTCTCCACTTGCAAGAATAAGTAAGAAATATCGACAGATTAGAGCAAAAATAAAAATACACAAATCATAATAAACGTATATTTTGAACGTGAAAAATCCTACAATATAAGAATAAGAATTACAACATACAAAAAAATAGCTCCATTATATAATAACTAAAAGGTACAAAAGAGTCTAAAAAAATTGCACAAATCAATGTATACACACAATCAACCAAAACAACCTAAACATCAATATTTATAAATGAGAAACAAGAAGATGAAACAATCCTAAATCATAGTTACTAATACAAGTTGCTTTACTCCAACTTTAGATTTTCAATTGACCATCCAACTCTTGAAAACAAAAAATCATACTTGATGAATTTGTTGTCCAAAAACTACCTCAACTCAATGGTGAACAAGTCTCTTATTGTAATTCAAAATGATTGTACAATATTGCATACTAATTTTCTCCTCTTTTTGTTTGTTGTATATTTTCAAAATAATGAATTCCCCTCATAGTATAATTTGATTTCTTTTCATTTAATTAAGTGAGATACAATGTAGGAGGGAAATCCAAAACCAAACATACATTCCTTCTGAAATGAAGTAAAATAATTCGTGTTCCTTTAAATTAAAATTTACAAATTTAAGTTTGAATGAATTTCATTTTGTAAAGTTTATAGGTAGCCCTTCCTTTAGAAAAATTGAGGTAAACTCCATTACAATGAAAGCCAATTGAAAACCAAATAACATATCCTTTCACTTTACTTATTGAACAAATATTAGGGGTTTTCCAACCAGTGAACTATATAACTGGAGTAATGAGAGTGTTATTTGAGAAAAAAGCTTCCAAATTGCGGCCCACAAGTTGGCAAATACCAAGATAAGACTCTGACGTGGAGAAACCTGCATGTGGTGATAAAACCACATTATCCAACCCAAAAAACTGTTGACAAACAAGAGGTTCATTCTGAAACACATCCAAACCAGCCCCTCCAATTTCCCCTTCCACCAAACACCTCAACAATTCCTTTTCATCTATCAAAGCCCCTCTTGCCACGTTCACAATGACTCCTCCTTTTCCCAGTGCCAACATCACTTCTCTGTTGATCACGTGCCTCGTTTGCTCATTCAGAGCACAACACAGAATGATCACCTGGTTGTTGCTGGCTAACTCAACAACGCTAGAGTAGAAAGGGTACCAAACTAAGGGCTTTTGGGTCCTAGAGTTGTATGATATAATACAATCCAAGGCTTCCAGCCTTTGTGCCACTTCTAAGCCAATTTTCCCCAAACCAACAATTCCAACTTTCTTTCCTGCCAACTGAAATAACACATGAAACATCAATAATCTACTTCAGCAGTATGGCACGACTAGCATAAGCTTGTAGTATTTAAACATAAAATGATTAACATTTTTTTTTACTATGGGCGCATTAAAGAAATAACTTTGTTCTTGTTTTACTAAAATTTCCCATTAATGTAAAATTAATAATCAAATTTCATTAAACAAAATAATATGTGTTATTTATTTTTTTAGGTGTCCTCACATGCATCATGAATGTCACTGTGTAAAACAAATTACAAATATACTGAGGCCCAATTATTTTATAGTGACTTTCTCACACAACTTTTTATGAATTATATATATATATATATATATATATTTATATATATAATCCTTCTTAAGGAGTTGTCTCTTGTATAACTAAAATGGTACTATCAATTATGATTTCAACCCTCATTATTAATTAAAGAATACAAATGTTGAACCATTTGAATTAACAAGTTTAATTCATACTTATTTGAATGTAATATACCAATATATATGGAGTGTGAAACAATAATTATTCTAAATTTTGAATGTCTTAATTTATTTTTGTTTTAATAAAGATTTTATTTATTTATATTCCATGTTATTTATAATAGAGTTATTTTTTTATCATAGGAATTTTTATGTTATTTTATAACTATATTATTTTATAATATAGTTATAGTGTTTAATTTGTATTGAAAAGTTAAAATCATGTTATTTTTATTAAATATGTTAATTAAAAATAAATCAATATTTTATATGAACAAAAACATAAAATAAAGATATTTTTATAAATATAAATATGCTTAATACACTGAATTCTCAATTCATATTATCTTCTTAAAATATGATATCACATGCCTCATTTATGAGGTGTATCTGTTTAATTTTTGTCCCTTTAACTAAAGATAAATTCTAAGATGATCTAAAAAGATAAGTGATTTATTTATTTCTTTTTAATTTGTACCATTAGATTTTATGCTTGCATGAGATATGAGATGTAATAAATAGACCTTCTTTGCCGAATTTTTGCTCTCTCTCCATCTTCAATCTTCACCCAATTGCCAACCTCTAAACCCTCTTTTTAATCTCACTCAGTGTTTGGGTCTAATGAATGAAATGAAAAAGAGATTTTATTTGTGGTCCCCTAACAGCGATCTTGATGGTGCTAACTGTTCTCGTATGTGATGATCGACATGGTTGACGCCAATATGGTCCACGACATACATCATAAGACCAATAAATTCAGATTAATTTTATGACCCAAAATTCTCATCCACCATACTCCATTTATCTAACTGCTTCATTCTAGTATTCATCCTAACTAAAACGATACATGGGTACAATTTCTTCTTCTTCTTCTTCTTTAAACTTTAATATAAAATATAATTTATCAAATAAAATAAATCTAAATTTAAGATTTATATAAACTTAATAAACAAATTCTTCTTCATATATAAATTATAATTGTATTAAAATGTTAACTTTTGATTTTTAACACTTTGTATTTCCTAGATTTTAAAATTTGATTTTATTTATATAAAAATTAGAATAATTAAGTAGAATTCGAGTTTTTTAAAATTATTTTTTAATTGAAATATTTTTAGAATATTATTTTTTTATAATTTTT